AATGATTCTGAAAGAAAACTACTATTGCTGTAGAAACACACAACTTCTGCACACTCTTATTTTAGTGTTGTTTTTAATTTTGTGGAAATTCGAGCTTTGTACATTCAGTTTAACAACATAAAGTTAAAGAGGGTAAACTTTACCATTGAACTGAACTGTGCACATAGACTTTGTTTCAAACACTTACCTTACTCCATCTATGCACTAAATACACGTCCCTAAAATAAAGCAGTTTCGAAGCTTATTTACTTTGCCTTCTCTGATGTGGCCAAAATTACAACAACAGTTGTGTTACATATACATATTTTCTTTAATGGTTTGATGACAATTATTGCTGACCTGTGGGTAGATGGACGATCCTCACAGCGCTGTCGGTGGTGTTGACATGCTGTCCTCCCGCTCCACTGGCTCTCTTCGTCTCAATCCTCAGATCTCTGGGGTTGATGGTAAATGAGATCTGTGAGGGTAAAGAGAAAGAATCACCACTTATACCCGAATACTGCTCAAAGAACAAGGCTTTCTCATGAAATACCGATAATAACACCTAATTTACACATGCATTTATCTAAATAGCCATTAGAGCTGAAGTTTTGTGTGTACCTCAGTGGGTTGAGGAAGTATGGCCACGGTCATCGTGCTGGTGTGTATGCGACCTTTACTTTCTGTTTTCGGGACCCTCTGTACACGATGGACACCAGCTTCAAACTTTAACTTTTTATAGCAGAGTGGACCACTGATACTGGCTGTTGCATGTCTGATGCCCCCTAAATAAGACAAATACATCACTGGAAATGAGCGTTCAGGGCACATGATGACAAAAACACAATCACTGACACCAGTTATTAAGAGTCTTTGCCTATGGCAGGATAGAAGTAGACAAATGTGTCAACCTAGTTCACTAGACATGACCTCCAGGATCCCAAAGTCCCAGCCATGGAAAGCAGCGAAAGAATGATACATATCGAAGATCTCTGCGGTAAAGAGCATGGCTTCTTGACCTCCGACCCCCATAGTGACCTCTAGGACCAGGTCACTCATGTCTGAGTCCTCTTCTGGGATCAGCAGAGATAAAATCTGGAACACAGAACATTAAGTATTGAGTGTCTGTTTACATTATGTTTAAACTTAATGTTTTTACAGCATTTTTACTTGGTTTGACAATTTATTTTACTACTTTTTTAAATGCCTTGAAGTAATAACAATAAATATATAATAAATAAATAAATAAACAAATAAATTAACAAATATTCACTATCAAGTCATGCTATTAATGTTGTATATTGTATATCTATAATGTATATTCACTGTTATATTATAACTGGATGTTATTAATGTATTTATTTTTAAACAATGCAGTGAATCTATCCAGTAAATTAATTCATTTGAAACCTATATATATATATATATATATATATATATTAATTGTATATATTTAGATATTAATTGGATACATTAACTCTGTTGTTTAAAAATGCATAACTTATTAACTTGTACATTTACTTAGACATTTGAAATTATTATTATTTATATTACATATATAAACTGTATATGTATTAATATAATAAATTAGTTCTATATATTCATTTCTAGATCATGTACATTTACTGATAATGTATATATATATATATATATATATATATATATTCTTTTTTTATTAAAACTTGTGAGATATGTGGGACCCACCCAGAAGGTCTGTAAGTGTTTACATAATATTCATCTCATTCCTTAGTATACTTAGTATACAGTCACAGGATCTGTGACTGTGCAAAGACTGTATGATAATCAATAAGGGTCATTTATTTAATAAAGGTGACTGACATGTTAATGAGAGGACTTCACACCTCACCTTTTGTTTGAGATCTTGAATGGCTGCCAGACAGGTTTCCTTCTCAGACTCTGCAAGCTCATGTAATTCTGGGTCATTGTCTGAAATGAGATGCAGATGCAAATGAAATGGCACCCTAGAAAGCTTTTCAATTTAAGCACGTCTTTCAGTTCATTACCTTTCAGCAAGTCCTGTGTTTCCTCCAACTCCTTCTGTTTTCCCTCTAATTCTTTGATTTTTTGTACCAAAGGCCCAAGTGCAGAGAGATTAGTCCTTTTCATTTTTATATTCTCATCATCCAGTGGTTGGTTTTCAGTACTGATGGAGTCCAACCATGTGTTATATTCCATTTCCTTCTTCCTCAGATAGTCATGTAAAGACTTCTTGCTGAAGATCTCATCCACAGACAGTATCTTAGTGACCAGCACAGACTGGGATGTGTGTAAGGCTCTTTGAGTGTGTGGTAATGTGCTGTTAACAGTCCTGGGAATGGCTGGACATCTGCATACTGATCCTCTAATGACTCCTGCACTCTTTAACAGTGTCACATTCAGCAGCTGAAGACTCTTACTAAAGCAAACGACTGCCATCTCCACTCAAGTGCCGCATTTAAAGGAGGATAAAAGCATTTACTATTCAAATAGTTTCCCCAAACACAACTTTATAGCAGCCTTCAGTTGACATCTATGAAACACAACATTCACATGTACTGTACAGAGCTTCTTTTTCCGGGTGATTTTTTTCTTCAAAATAAAAGTCCGTAACATTATCATCAAGGCGTTCTGAAATGTATGTATAAAAGACTTTACATTGATTAACATTTAGTAACATTATGTACAAATAAATGTACACACATTTTAAATTTAAATTAAACTTAATCACGATAGTTCGTCAACACGAAACTATGAATCTGGAGCACATTACTATTTACTCATTTAACGACTATTTTGTATAAAAAAATAACATATATATATATATATATATATATATATATATATTATTGATTAACAATAACATTGTTTTTTAAGGCTTTTTATTTAGAAAACGGAGCATTTCCAGCGTTGTTTATTTTAGGTAAACATTACATTTAATTTATATTATTTTTTAAATTAACGCGTTTTGTATAAGAAATATATTAATATAATATTTTTAAATTATATTCATATATTTCTTTCGATCTACTATTTATAAGATACGATAATTATAATTAATAATTTATTAGATAATGTAAATACTACAATAAATTCCAAATCGTGTCAAAAAAAACAGTACCACATTAAACCAGTAGATGGTAGTATTGCCAACGTTATTATATTATTATTTGCAATATCTATTTAGAGGAACCAACAACAGTATAACCAATAACCAATAGATGGCAGTATTAGCAAAGTTATTTATACATATCATTTATAAATGTAGATAATCAAGTTTTATTTAATTTAAAATTTGCATAATTGTGCTGTGTAGAAATGTCAAGTTAGTGCATGTGGCTGCAAATATTGTCTCTAAAATGAGTGTTTTGTAGATCTAATCTTTGCATTCTTTAAAAGGGTTATGTGAACATGCAGGACTCATAAAACAGAGCCATGTGGATCGTGTAATTCTCACTGGAGGCCGAGATTTGACATTATGTGGCCCATAGAAAGAGAAAATGGTTATAAAAAGTTTAATCCTCTGCAAAATCATACTGATTATAGAGGAATTACATGGATTTGATCTCCGTAAGTGGGTCATTCTTCAAACTTCATAAAGATTGGGTGTGCAGGGGGACGAATACGTCAATTCTAACCATCACATCCAAATCAACACTTCATCTTGGTGGTGCATTATAAAAAATATATTAAATTCCATCGCTTAATGTTATTGTAGTCATTACACATAACTAGTTTAAGAGAGTCTGCAGATTACAAATATCCTTGTATGTCCCTGAATAGGAGATGTGAACAAAAACACTCGGTGAGCAGCTGGAAACCCCTGCAAATGAAGTTTGCCTTCATAAGAATATTACTAACGGACAAAAACAATATCCATTCATTATACGCAAGCTCTCCAGTGCTATTGTCTTCGACATTGTTCTCTAGTTCAGATTCATAATTCCTTTGTGTATGCACATAATGCACATAACACACACCCTCAAGCGTCGGACAACCTCTGAGACCCCAAAGTGCAAGTGACGAGAAACACACTTTAATTGTGTTTGAAAAAAGTTTCACAAGAACGCTCTAACTTATAGAAATTAAGGTTTTTGATGAAAACATTCCAGGATTTTTCTCCATATAATGGACTTCAATGGGGTCCAAACGGTTCAAGGTCCAAAAGACAGTTTCAGTGCTGGGCCGAGTGTCCTGTTTTTGGTAATCAAACTCAACCTAGAAAACGAAGAAACTCATACAGGTGTGTGAGTAAATTGTGACAGAACGTTCCTTTTAGGGTGAACTGTCCCTTTAAGGGAACATTCTATTCTATAATTTTGGGAATGTTACATTTGGAACATTGTTAGTAGATAGATAACCATAGATAACATATCTATGGTTAGTAGCATTTAAAAAAAAACAAAAAACAAAAAACAAACAAACAAAGGGACGTCCAAATAAGACGTTTCAGGAAAACGTTCTGAGAACGTGAGCTGGAAAGGCATTTTTATATTGCAAAGCAAAGCCAGTTTAATGAGCTCAGATTGAAAGACTTTAGGAATACGTGTACTTTTGTGTAAAAAACAAAAATCACAATCACAGCACACTTGTTAATGTAGCCTATATAAATTTAATTGGAAAACATACACCCACGTTAATTTTCATACTCTCACAGATTGTGCACTGTAATTAATTGTAATTTGTTATAATTATTTAAAGAGTTATATATGTATATTTAACTTCACTAATTTCACTTAAATGGCAATTCATAGGTAATCTTCATTGTCATTTAAGTGAAATTACTGAACTTAAATATATAAGCTTGATAAAAAATGATCATTTTAGAAGAAAATTTCAAATGGCACTTAGAGGCTTTTGCATCTTAACTCTGTATTTGTTATTTGTCTAAAATGCATCAATTGTAATGACGTGTTTCTGACGATTTTTAATCCAAACGGATAATGATGTAAAGCATGCAGCGCTTAGGCTGAAATCCATTGTGAGCGTCGTTGATTCGGAGAGGAATTTGGAGCAACTTCACACTACATCGACGCAGTCATCATCACATTCAGATCTGTGACAGCAGTCTGACACTCACACAGAACACATTCTGCAAACTCTGCGCAATGACATGATGCAGGACGTTTCGGAAAACGCGAAGAACCATGTAAGTACCACTGCAGCACTGTAGACAATGACAGTAACCCATAACCCAGCTGTGCACGCGCTCAGGAGGAACACTGTCTGCGTCACGAGTCACGACATTGGACTGTGTTTGAAATCTAGCTCGTATTAGATTTCTGCATAGGCTACTAATAGTGCGTTAAATTATTTACTAAGACAATTAAGAAACGACTATTCTCAGCTGGCATTCGACTGTCATTAGACGTTTAAATGTTATTGAATAAAAAAAAAAAAAAACATGAATTCAACGTCAAAACAACACTGAATACCAAATAGTTGAAGTGGTGTTGTTAACTCACTAGCTAGATTCAATATAGAAATATAAAATTTCAACCTCAAAATTCATCGGTTATCCAACACTGGCGCCTGTGTTGATTTAACAGTGAATCGACGTTGAAATGCCAGCTGGGTTAAGTAGACATGCTAGTGCTTTGTCAGATTTTGAATAAATAAAGTGACCGAAAAAGACTTGACAGTTGTTGAATGAGCGGATTTGTACGCAGCTCACATGCTGTTTCAGGTCAGATCTCCACAGGCGATCTCGTGAGAAAATCCCAAAATATCTGGCAGATTCTTCTTTAACATGTCATGATTGTGCTGTTATAAGAAGCGTCATTCGATGCAGTGAAATGCAAAGAAACTAACAATGTTTCATTGGTGCTGCTATAGAGAATGTGACCTCAGATGCCCCAGTGGTTATCAATGCCAAAACCAAATTTCTGAATGTAGCTCTTAACGGAGCAGTTCACTTACAAAAAAACTTTTGCTGATAATTTACTCAGCCCCATGTCATTCAAGATATCCATGTCATTCTTTCTTCAGTCGAAAAGAAATTAGGGTTTTTGATGAAAACTTTCCAGCATTTTTCTCCATATAATGCACTTCAATGGGGTCCAAACGGTTCAAGGTCAAAAAGACAGTTTCAGTGCAAACTGCAAACTGTTCAAAGGGCTTTAACCGATTCCAGACAACGAATAAGGGTCTTATCAAGCGAAACGATCACTCATTTAAAAAAACAAAAACAAAAAACAATGTTTAAGTTTTATAAGCTCAAATGCTCGCCTCTGTTCTGTGATCATGAATCTCCTGTTCGAACTCGTTTAAAATGTACATATCAGCACCTAAATTGTACATATTAGCACCTGAAATGTACATATCAGCAACTAAAATGTACATATTAGCATCTGAAATGTACATATCAGCAACTAAAATGTACATATTAGCATCTGAAATGTACATATCAGCACCTGAAATGTACATATTAGCACCTGAAATGTACATATCAGCACCTGAAATGTACATATTAGCACCTGAAATGTACATATCAGCACCTGAAATGTACATATTAGCACCTGAAATGTACATATCAGCACCTGAAATGTACATATTAGCACCTGAAATGTACATATCAGCACCTGAAATGTACATATCAGCACCTAAAATGTACATATTAGCACCTGAAATGTACATATCAGCAACTAAAATGTACATATTAGCATCTGAAATGTACATATCAGCACCTGAAATGTACATATTAGCACCTGAAATGTACATATCAGCACCTGAAATGTACATATTAGCACCTGAAATGTACATATCAGCAACTAAAATGTACATATTAGCATCTGAAATGTACATATCAGCACCTGAAATGTACATATTAGCACCTGAAATGTACATATCAGCACCTGAAATGTACATATTAGCACCTGAAATGTACATATCAGCACCTGAAATGTACATATCAGCACCTAAAATGTACATATTAGCACCTGAAATGTACATATCAGCAACTAAAATGTACATATTAGCATCTGAAATGTACATATCAGCAACTAAAATGTACATATTAGCATCTGAAATGTACATATCAGCACCTGAAATGTACATATTAGCACCTGAAATGTACATATCAGCACCTAAAATGTACATATTAGCACCTAAACTGTCAATCAAGCATGGGCATTGTTTGCTGTGGCTTATGATTAGAGACCTGTTTGTTATTGTTTGCAAAAGTGCTGCATACATTTTACGCTTCACCTTTAATGTGCCCACTAATATTTATGGGGGCCCACCCAAACAGTAAATCCTGTCTACGCCCACAAGGTTAAGACATGTAACACATGGTGCAGCGATGACCTTCCACTGCCAATAACCTCAAATGAATTAGCTAGACATTCTTAACCTCCTCTGACCTCTCGGTTATCCCACTCCACCCAATGCACTTTGTTCCTCAAGTGTTGAGAAGACCCACATGACCCGTGTCTTTTATATGGGAACGAGCCAGGAGACCCCATTGCCTGGCTGTTAAGTATGGGAGGAATGAGAGGGATCAATCGTCTTAAGGAACGGGCCTTTCCATTCCTGTGAAAACAAGGTTAAACCCTGCAAATATTTGATGAATGACGGCTATGCAATTCATTTTTCACTCTCTGTGGAATAATAAGCAGGGATATGTTTTGACAGATAAATGAGGCCTGTGGAATATGAGGTTCAAATAAACACAGGAGTGAAAGCTTCATCTCAGAAAGTTTGCTGTTGGAAAGTGCTCAGGTTTTAGTCAGACAAACAGTGAATAGATATTGGGTTTACTAAGGCAACATCGCTGTTGTTATTCGTATGAAACTGCATAGCAGAGATGTGCAAATCCATCCATCCTGAATTTCTTTTCATTTCATTTACCTCCAAAATTGCAATTATTAGTCTATCAATGCAGTTAACTCATACACTCTTAGAAAAAAGGGTTCATTGGGGTTCTATATGAAGCATAGGGTTCTTTACTCAACTCCAAAGAACCTTTTATGCTAAAAAAAAGTTCTATTTCAGTTCTACCCTAAAGTTCTACCGTTTTGGCACAAAGGTCCTTTATAGGCCATTATTCATTCATTTTACATTATTCTGCAACATGTTGTAGTTGTAATTAAATTATTGTTCATTAAACTGTTGTAATATCACATTTTAATCATGCTGATTTTTGGAGGGGAAAAACTGAAATGGCATTCTTCATGTGATATTGATTAACTAAATAAAATTATATAAATATATACATTTTCTAACACCCATATCTGGAATTTTGTGATCATTCACATGCATTCATAAATACATTTTAGGGTCTTTTAGGGAAGTTTGTCAATAATATGAAATATAATTAATCCGGAAAGGACAACACAAATGATAATGAATGAACGCAAAAGGTTCCATATAACCTTGTTTCTGGTTCCAAAGAACCCTAAAGGGTTCTTATTATTCTATAGAACCTTTAGGAGTTCTAAATACGTAGCGCTGATAGAACCTTTTCTTCTAAGAGTGTAACATTCAACAGTGCTGGATTTAATCCACATTTGGCACTTAGTGTGTTCATTTTAGACCCTGAACTTTAGTGTCAAAGCCCATGAAGCGCATTTATGTAAGGCTGACAGATACATTGGGATTTCTGAACATCCGTGTTTATAGAAAACCGTCTCAAATAGAGCGGCACCTACTGTTTGATTCCCATCGCTCACTGGGACATAAGCTGGGGGTCACGAAAACATTACGTGACAGAGTGAAAACTACAGAGAGTTCAGGGCCGAGCATGTGAAGGAAGCGCTGAAAAGCTGCAGATTCCACAAGTGGGCCTTTATAAAAACATCGGCAATGTCCAGCGGAGACTCCGGACCAGTGAGCCGAGGAACGGAAGAACAGATGTGAAAACATTGTCATTCCTCATAACTATAGCATCAGGAAAACAGCAGACAATGTTAAATAAACAAAACCTTTTAGTTCGCTTTAAACATATGGACACAGAAAGTCAGAACACCAGAAGATTCAGACAACAAAGCAACTTGGAGAGCGTCTGAAGAAATTTATAGAGTCACTTGACTGAACAAAATATATAGATTTTGAAGAACAGATCGTTTGTGAAAATGGTAAACAGGCCCTTTATGTGTAACTCGTGATGTTTAACCCTTGAGTAAGTGTGTGTGTGTGTGAAGAGTTCAGATGCAAAAGCCTCTAAGTGCCATTGGAAATTTTCTTCTAAAATGATCATTTTTTATCTATAAGCTTATATATTCAAGTTCAGTAATTTCACTTAACTAATAGGTAATCCTCGTTGCAATTTAAGTGAAATTACTGAACTTAAATATACAAGCTTGATAAAAATGATCATTCTAAAAGAAAATTTCAAATGGCACTTAGAGGCTTTTGCATCTGAACTGTTCGTGTATATACATTATATAGATATTTATATATTAGCTCAGCTCAATAGGCATGTGTTGGCATGGTTAAGACTGATGGTTGTTGTTGCCAAACCACTGATCTACTCACACAACTGTCCATTTAATGTTCCGAAAAATAGGAAATATCCAGTGAGTGGTAGTTCTGTGGGTGAAAATGACTTGTTGTTGCCAGAGTTCAGAGGAAAATCAGAGAAAATCATTGTTGGGGATTGCCCCACTGAATGCCGGTTCATTAATATTCTTACAGTAAAGGGTTAGTTCACCCAAAAATGAAAATGATGTCACAAATGCCTCTCCCTCATGTCGTCCCAAGACCTCCGTTCATCTTCAGAACACAGTTTAAGATATTTTAGATTTAGTCCGAGAGCTTCATTGTAAATGTGTGTGTCCGGTATACTGTCCTTGTCCAGAAAGGAAATAAAGACATCATCAAAGTAGTCATGTGACATCAGTGGGTTAGTTACAATGTTTTGACGCATCGAAAAAAAACCAAAAAAAAAAAAAAAAAAAAAAACCTAGGACTTTATTCAGCATTGTATTGTCTTCCGGTTCTGTTGTGGATCCGCGTTCAGTGACGTGTGTCTGGTGCGTCCGTGTATTCGGGTTCAAATAAATATGGCTTCCTCTGTGTGGAAATCCTTAGACATGTTTGTGAAGACTGTTTTGTACAGCGTGCGTCTCCCTCAGACTGTAACCGAAGCTCAGCCGCACCAGACACACGTATTATATGTATTAAGTATTCTACATAATACACCATTAAAGG